TAGATATGTTGGTCGGTAATCAGCTGTTCTTGAAATTGCTACTGCCAGGAGAAATGCATCTGACTGATCATCTCCCAAGTCTGCGAGAAACCCAACTGGACTGGGTCGTTGGTGGGGTTTGCGATGACACAATGTCCGATGCTGTGGTCCATTTGCATTCACTTACGCTTGAGGAGTTGGATCGAACTGTCAAGAGGTTCTGGGAAATTGAAGAAGTTGCAAGTGTGGAACCATCCTCGGAAACTATAGAGTGTGAGCAACATTTTCAAGAAACACACCGTCATGACGAAACTGGGAGGTACTTCGTCCAATTGCCTCTCAAGGAGAATGTCTGTAAGTTAAGAAGTTCCCGTTCACTGGCCCTTACACATCTTGGAGAGACGGTTTGCACAAGATCCGAATTTGAAGCAACAATACGTCGAGTTCATGACTGAGTACGAGCAGCTTGGTCACTGTGAAGAAATTAACGAGAGGGAAAAAGTTAAAGATGGTGCGTGGTACCTACCGCACCACGCCATCAAGTGTCGAGTGATGTTCGATGCATCGGCAAAGGTTAACGACCTTTCGTTGAATGATGTCAAGAAGATAGGATCGCTTAAACAGTGTTCTTTGGATGAGATAACTCTTCGTTTCCGAATTCCACGTTGTAGCAAAGATGTATCGTCAAGTGTTCCTTGAGAAGGTAAACAGATGTCTTCATCGAGTATTCTTCAGATTGGATCCGTCACGTCCACTACGTGTGCTAGAGTTAAAAACCGTAACCTATGGCACTGCTTCAGCACCTTTCCTAGCAACAAGAGCATTTCTACAGGTAGCACTCGATAAAGGGTACAATTTTCCATTTGGCAGCCAAAATTGTCAAGAACTGTTTTTATGTAGATAATGTACTTTTCGGTTTCGGCGACATCGATGAAGTACGTGAAGCACAGTCGCAGCTGATCCATCTCCTGGAGGCAGGCGGATTTCATTTGCACAAGTGGGCTTCAAACTGTCCAGATCTAGTCGAGCATATACTGGAAGTTGATCGTGAAGAATTGGTGAACATTGAAGGAATTGGAGTGAACGAAGTTATCAAATCACTTGGTCTGCTGTGGAACCCGTCCTCGGATGAACTGATCTTCGTTGCAAAGCCATTTCCTCAGATAACAAAGCCGACGAAGCGTCAAGTGCTGTCGTTGGTTGCAAGTATGTTCGACCCTCTGGGGTCAGCTGCATCGGTGATTGTCGTTGGGAAGATGCTGATGAAGAACATTTGGAGTGAGAAGACCGATTGGGACGAAAAATTAAACAGTGAATTGGTTAAGAATTGGGAATACTTCTTGAAGTGCTTAAGTGGTGTGAAGAAGATCCGAATCCTTCGTCGAGTGGTGTCATCTGATACTACTGCCTTTGAGATCCATGGTTTCGAAGATGCGTCCTTGGTAGCTTACGGAGCCTGCGTTTACATAAGATCAATTGTATTTGGAAAGTCCCATGAGGTGAAGATTATTGACTGCTAGTCGAAGATAGTGCCGAAGTCAGTACTGACGGTTCCACGAAAAGAACTCTTGGCAGCTGTGTTGTTGCATCGTCTAGTGAAGAAAGTGTTGGAAACGTTGAAACTGCCCTTCCGGAAAATAATGTTGTGGTCAGACAGCCAAATCGTGCTAGAGTGGCTGAAGAAAAATCCCGTACAGCTGGAAGTGTTTGTAAGAAATAGAGTTGGTGAGAATACTTATACCGGAAATTGTATTTCGTGGAAGTATGTGAACACTGCAGAAAATCCTGAAGATATAGTGCCCCGCGGGCTTTCTGCCGAAAGTGATCTGTGGTGGAACGGACCAATGTTTTTGAGAAGTCAAGAATGCCAAATGGATGTTCCTGAACCATTGCAAGATGAAGATATTCCCAAACTCAAGACCACGGTTGTCGTCAGTGTCACAGTGGAACTTGAACTGTTACCTGTGTTTAAAAGATTCGAGAGTTTCCGGAACCTGCAGCGTAGCTGGTAGCATATGTACAAGGGACAAAAATCTATACAACTCTCTATTAAGGAAAAAATTAAAGCCATCATCCTTGGTAGCCATCATAATGAAGTAATTACATTGGGTTGTATAGATTTTTCTCCTTTGCTTAACTTAAATCTTTGGCTATTATTAGTTAGGTAGGTTCCGATTCTACACGTTGTAATTTCATTTTTATACCTGTGCTCTAGACTTTTTTTTTACCTAGGCGATGAGTACGTAAGGAGGTCAGATTTTGAGTCAGTCTTTAGTGGGAATGACACTGATGAAGACTGCACATTGAAGTCGAAATACGTACGGCTTTTTTTCAAAGTGACGCCAGGTCCAGAAAGACCCCAATGCCCTAGGTACGTTAAGTATTTCTCACGGATTGCCCTCTCAAATCCCTCCTTCTGGCGAACCCTCGCTCTGCCCATGCTAGCTCACCACGGTCTAGTCGTGAAGTGCAAATAAGTGCACAACATGTCATAATTTACACAAGAGAGATACCATCAAATTTACACTCTCCGTCTCCACCCCTTCGCCGTCCGCCACGCCACGTCGCGTCGCCCCATTGTAGTTGCACTAAATTCCTTGGCAAACGTGGGATCCCATTGGGCCACGCAACTAGGAAGAACCGTATACGATACGATTGGCTGAATGTAACTACAAATGAGACGACTCTGAGTGCGATCGGTGAGCTCTTGCTTTCCGTGGCTTCCGGTTCTCTCGGCTGTACACCACTATCAGTATCGGTGAAATAAAATGATATGTGGGTTGCCAGGGCCGCACAACGCCGCCTTCGTAATGCTGCACCCGAAACAGGAAGACGATAGGCTAGTATGCTTCCTTTGTGGTTCAGACGGATTGATTCTGAGAACATGTGCGCAAATTTGTAAGGCGGCTCACATGTGCAAATAGTGTAATATGAATAATAATTGCACGATAGAATTGAACTTGGAAGCTGCAGATTCAAACCGAAACGGAAAGTAGTTGCATAGAATATTATATATTCCACGAAAACAGCCTGGACTATCATTTAAAATTCCTTCGAATCTTGCCTGAATGGAGCAAGCCTTCATAATTGTGAGAATAACTCATCAAGAAATAATTACAGCCTCGCCGCAGCAACTAATTGATATCGTTTCACTAGCTCGTATATCAATTTACCGCTCAACATTAAAACAGACGTACAATGCCGAATAGATATAGGTACCAACACCCCCTGCTCGATTTCTCCAGGAAACTGCCCCGAACGTATGTAATGAATTGCATTTACACATCTTCATAACGCTCATCCTTTGCATGGCATGCTATGATTTATGCACTGCCAAGAGTTGCACACGCACTCCCTCCCTATCACAGCAGAACTGTCATCATCTCCGTTCGTTGATTTCCTTCGAATGAGTAGGCTTTGGGTTGTGCTGTTCTAGATGCGTCAATGCCAGTGATGCCAGATTCGTTTGAGATGAATTCAATAGATCAGAGGCACGCCTTGCTTGGAGATACTCATCGATTTTTAAAGGTCGGAATCATGAACATCTTTTTTCTGGTGGATTTTTTATAAGCATGTCAATTTCGAATAATCGAATCAGAAGCGACGTCAAGTCCATTCAATGGCAGAAGAAATGTTGATGCTAACGTGGCTGTGGCGGGTAACGCTTTGTTCTTCAGCCACTTTGTTTTCAAAGGTTTCATTCCACTGCACAGTGGTCCAGGATGGGAATTTAGCAGGAAGCAGTTCTAGTTTCAATATTTAGTATTTTGTATTTTGTGGTTGAAAATACTAGGGTGATCCTCATTTTACGTCCGCATTTGGCGGTGGCCGAGAACATTTCTTCTTGTGAGAATAAACACGCGACGTAAACTTATAGCGAATTAAAACTTTATTGTAACGATTGAAATACAAAAACTTATCGCGTTGATAGTGTTGGTAGGGTCGTTTGGTAGAGATGTCCGGTACCTGGACAGCTGTTGGGTTTTCATTGGCTGATAGAAACTCTAACGATGATGATGGCACAGAGCTTGATGTGGATGTAAACTTAGATATGGGTGATGACAACGAAGAAGCTTCAGGTGATTCCCACACTTGCGCAGATGCCTTGGGTGTCGGTACCCCAAGCAGTGTGGATTGCTCAGTTGGAACTCCAAGCGTGGTTGACGTCTGGTCGGTGACTGTAGATGACGATGGTAGTGGTGGTGTAGTGATAGTGGTTGCTGTTTAGCGTGGATTAGGTAAGTTCCATGCTCTAAGCAGAATGTCTATTGGTAACATTTTGTCTGACTTTACCGGTTTCGTTGACGACTTGTCACCAGATGCTCGACAGCGCAATTGATTGAGATGCGATCGAAGCATACGCTTGTCTTCCACCCATACGTTGAACATAACACGCCCAATAGGTTCCAGAACTACACCGGGTGCCCATCTTCACTGGTTGTTTGATTAAACCTTCGCGTGTACTGCATCGCCATTCTGAAAGGATCGCCGTTTAGTAATTTGTTCCTCACTATGTTCCTCTACTGGAACGGTTGGTGGACGCAGCAAGTCCAGGCTAGTACGAATCTTGCGTCCAAACATTACTTCGGAGGATGATCTACCATCAGGTGTGGAAGGGTTTGGTGTTGATCTAAAAGTCATCAGGAACACGTCCAAAGCTTCCTGAATGGCTCCTTTCCCCTCTCTGATTTTTTTCACTGATCTCTTGAAGGTGTTCACGAACCTTTGGATTGTGGGTGGTACGGTGCTGTTGTGATGTGATTGACACCATTCTTTAAGCAGAACCTATCAACGATAACGATAACCGAACTGTGGTCCGTTATCGCTGACCAGTTAGACTTCGGAGGATGCTGATAGTAGCAGAGGAAGTGATGGATTTTGTCCTGACGATTCTGATCCACTTGGAACACGAGTCGATGCACAGCAGGAAATACTCGCCTTCATTCGGTCCAGCATAGTCTACGTGCACTCGCTGCCTTTGATGCGTTAATTTTGGCCACGACAATGGCCTGACACGGTGTTCAATTAGCCGAGACATCTGCGTTGCCGAATTTCTCCGTGTTGACATAGACGATCTTGGAATCATAAATCAGCAACTGTAGCGCCCAACGTTGTAAGCGGTTTGCAGTGTAGACCGGGATACCTTTCTTTGATCCGAAGATCCGAAGTAACGAAGCGTGATCCGTCTGCAGCGTGAAGCTTTGCCCGAAAAACATTTTATGGAATTTGGTTACGGCGAAAATGATCGCAAGACCTTCGCGATCTGGCTGGCTGTAGGCTTGTTCCGCTGATGTCAACGACCTCGATGTATGCAGCACAACCTTGATCGATCCGTCCGGAAATTTGTGGCTGAGTGTGGCTCCAACTCCTATCGAAGATGCGTCCGCCGACACGATGATTTCGAATGCCGGATTGTAGTGCGTTAACAGCAAATCGGAGGCCAGAATCTTCTTGAAGTTTACGAAAGCTTCTTGACATTCGGGTGACCAGATGAACTGTTTGCCGGTTTTGAGCAGCTCATGGAGTGGATATCTCAGCGTTCGCATCCCCGAGACGAACTTTCCGTAATACTTAATCGCCCCCAAGAACGAACGCACTCCAGACACGTCCGTTGGGGCTGGCATGCTACGGATCGCTTCGATTTTGTTAGGATCCGGGCGCAGGTCCTGCCCGTCGATGAGGTGCCCCAGGTATTTGATCTGGCGCTGGCTAAACGAGCACTGCTTTGATGGTAAACCCGTAATCCTGGATTCGACGGAGGACGGCTTGAAGGTTGCGTTGATGATCTTCTTCGTCCACCCCACCCCACTAGAACATCGTCGAGGTACCCTGATGTACGGTTTGAGTCCAAACAGCATGGTGTCCACCAGCTGCTGAAATGCCCCGGGCGCTGCCTTAACACCGGGTGGAAGTCGATTATAACGATAGAGTCCTCGATGCGTGTTGATGGTTAGCATCTCTCGAGACTCTTCTTGTACCTCGACCTGCAAAAATGCGTCAGAAAGATCTATTTGGCCAAATACCTTACAGTTGGCCAGCTTCGCGAAGATATCTTGCGGCAGCGGAAGTGGGTACTGGTGCGGCTGAAGTGCATCATTCAAGCCTGTTGAGTAGTCGCCGCATATCCTTATTGCTCCGCTTGCCTTCCTGACGACAACGATCGGTGCTGCCCAATCCGAATGCTCGACTGGTGTGATGATTCCAGCGTTCTCCAAACGGTCCAACTCATCGTCGACGGTCTTGTACATCGCATACGTCACTGGCCGCTTCGGACGGAACATGGGTTGGGCCCCTTCCTTCAGCGTGAAATTCGCCTTTGCTTTCGTACACAAACCTGGAGCATCGTTGAACACGGTTGGGAAGGTTTTCTTGAGAGGACTGATCGTTGTTGCAGAACTGCTGATCTGGTTGCAAAAACGATTTATCGGCATCGACCAGAAATTGAATTGGTCGATAAGATCTAATTCAAGCAAGTTGAGTTGCTGCTTCATGATGTAGAAACGACCTTGCTGCTTGATGAAAATTTCACATGTACATTCAAACTCCAACTTCAATGGCTTCCCTGATGCCGTTGCCGCTTCTACTGTCGCAGAGCTGGAAGTGGGCTGACGTGGCGTCTTCTCGGAAATAATGCTAATGTCCGATGCCGTGTCTAATTGGAGGCTGACTTGTCGGACGTTCACTAGCGCTTGTACAAATCTTCTTCTTTTCTTCACGTTTCTCACCACAACACATTTGGTCGTCATCTTCTTCGCCGAGTAACGCCTGTTTGGACTTTTTGCTTTCATCGCACTTGAACAATACCCGTCCTTGTGACCATATTGCTTGCACTCACGACATTGATGCTTCTTGAAAGGGCAATCCTTGGCATACTGCATGGATCCGCAGTTCCAACATGGTGAACCCGGAGCAGTTTTGTTGACCTTACTTGATCCAGCCGGTGATCCAGGTCCAGGGGATTGCTTTTCGTATCGGGATGCACGCTTCCCGACAAACTGCCTGCTTTTGAGCGCCTTGACCAACGATGCCATATATACAGACTTCTGTACACGAAAAAAGTGGTCACCCTTTTTAGTTGTATTCAAAAAATATCAAATGAAGTGTTTCGTGAAGCTACAATTACTGCAATAACTAGTTAATATTTCATTGCTAACATTTGAAAACGGCGCAAAAGCCATTTGTAAACAAATGGTTTGTGGGCCCTTTACTCGCTACCCGAAGAACGCCCACGCAAACCAACAGCATCGTCAGGAAGGGGAAAATTTCCCCTACCCGATTTTGCTGTTGTGCCGCGTGGGTGTACTTCAAGTAGTGAGTAAAGGGCCCACAAACCATTTGTTTACAAATGGCTTTTGTGCCGTTTTCAAATGTTAGCACTGATTTGTAACTATTTTTGAGATTAGAAAAGTCGTTATTATAATTAATGTTACAAGGGTTCAAAAAGATAGTGTCCACCTTTATCGTGTACAAAAGTCTGTATATATGGCATCTTTGGCCTTGACTGATGTTGAAGACGGCGCTGCCTCAATCATCGCTGTGTCGTGTTTGATGTTGAGGAGCCGTTGGCACTCATCCGAAATATGGTTATATCAGCACTTTCTTCGATCCTGCTCAACAATCTCGTCCGAACATCTGCATCATTCTCCGCTTTTAATCCGCACACGAACACCAGACACTTGAATTAGTCCTCGGTTAGCTTACCTAGCTCAAGCTCCACACACAGTTTGTTGACTCTGCAAGCGTATGATTTGAAGTCCTCGGTGGCTTGCTTGGTGACTTGCAAGCACCGATAGCGCCAGCTAAGCACAGACTCTGGTGTCCCAAACAAACTTTTCAGCTTGCTCATGGTGATTTCAAAGCTGACATCCTTCGGATATATAGAAAGAATGTAGCTATTGTAGCGTTCGTGTTCCGTCGGTCCTAGTTTGCGGAGGAGTAATCGCACCTTTGCCTCATCATCAAGGCGAGCAGCGTCTTCTGCAAACAAATCTTCATAGCGAACAAACCAGTTAGCGAAAGTGACGTTCACATCCGGCTCATATTGAAACTCCTTTATATTACTTGCTAGGGAGTCAAGGATCAGCTCCGGATTCGGTGCTGGTTGCTGGTTCATCGTTGACAGCATCGTTTGGAAAAAGACTTGCTGCACGGCGAATGAGAAAGACTCAAATTTGAGTTTACTTCACTCATAAACGCCAAAACTCAGCGATGAGTTAATTTGCCTCATGTTTTCCCAGGTTTCTCAGGGAAAGTAAAGATTGGATTCACTCAGTCTATTGGTACTACTCCGAGACTGAATAAAATTTTCGTCAATTTCCTCATTTTCCGGCAGATTTTTTAGGTTTTCCACAGGAAACCATGAGACAAATTTTACTCATCGCTGAGTTCCTGCACTTTTGGCGATTATGAGTGAACTAAACTCAAATTTGAGTCGTTCTCATTCGCCGTGTGCTGCTGCTGAAGATGCTGGAAAAACTCGAAACACTGCGCCACAAATTCGTTCGAGTTAGCATTTTGCGGTTGCTGAGATTGCTGCTGCTGTTGTTGTTGTCTTGAAATACCGGAGGACGAAGTATCGGATTCGGCGGAAGCTGCTGATGCCCTGCTTGGCCTTGCTGCTGCCCATTTGCCGCAATTGATGGTGTTTGCGACTGGTTGCTCCCGGGTGATGAATTCATGCTCTCATCCATTCTTCTCCTCTTCCTTTTCGAAGACGCTATTTCTCACTATTTTCCGTCGCCACTTTTACGTCCGCATGTGGCGGTGGCCGAGAACATTTCTTCTTGTGAGAATAAACATGCGACGTAAACTTACAACGAATTGTAACGATTAAAATACAAAAACTTATCGCGTTGATCACGGTGCGCATCATAAACTTCTAAAATATTCTGACGCTTATGCTGCTCGGCTGTCATGCGTCAACGGGTGACAGTTACGACTGCCACCAGTGAGCTCAGCGGCAGTGTTGGTAGGGTCGTTTAGTAGAGATGTCCATTCGCCCCAACACTCAAATTGATTGTACAGGTGTGTGTCATCCTCTAGTCCTGATCCAGCTGGGAGCGTTAGACAAATAGAACTTCAAATAATTTTATCAAATCTAAGATCAGTACTTTTAAAAGGATACATGTGAGGTAGGACAAGGCGTCCTCAACAAGTTTAAGGAAAAGGGTGTCCTAATGTCTGTGGGATATATAATGAGCATTGTTAAACTGAGGTTAACATGTTTTATTCCACTTCTCGAAATGGTTTAGAAAACCACCAGTGGGTTACATTTATAGTGGACATGGTCAAAATATATACCACCATTACCTACTCACTTGCTTTATTGGTTTTAAAAACAACCCAATTCTTGATCACTTCAGGTAACAGTGTTAATAAAACGGAATGTTGTCTAGTGAAATGCAAACGCAATGGTTACCGGAGACCACAAGTTAATAAATGATTGCCGAAGTGGATACGAAGCAGGTTACGCACGAGAGAAAAAAATATATCACCGCGAGAGTAAGAACAACTCCGAGAGCCGGATAATATTGAATGTATAACGAGAGAGAATGAGAGAAAAATGAGTACGAGAGTTTCTGGATTCTCAAAGCCTGGTCATGATCGACAGCTCGTTGTACGAGTCATTCTGTATACGATTTCTGGAGCGAACAGTTATTTCGCGGAAGTAAAAATGGCCTCCAAGCGTCACGACAATGGCGTGGTTGACGCTCCCTCCAAGTAAGTATTAAGTCGAAAGCAGAAAAGCAGGCAATTGTGTGACAAGTTGCAATTTTGTGAACCGATTACGATAACATTGCAACTTTTAACACGAAAAAAAAAGAAAAGAAAGATAAACCGATTTGGCTATGGCAAAATGAAATGTTCTTGGCAAAAAAAAAGGTAAGCCGAGTGTCTAGAAAATGGCGATGAACATCACAGCGAATGACTAAAGGCAAAAAAGCAAGATAAGCCTGCGAGCAATAGACAAATGGCAAAAAAAAAATGAAGGTAAGCCATTTGAGACATAGCGGGATTTGTCTTTGTTATCGTTTATCGGATTCATAAATAGGCTGCGAATTAGAAAAAAAAGCTTCAAAGCTCATGACACATTGTGCAAATTTTCAGGAAGAGGAAGAGCTCCAAGTTAGACGCAGCTCTGTCACAAGCCAATTCCAGTAATGCCGTACTTTCTGACGAATTAGTCAAAGCACAGGAAACGATCCGCTAGTTGCAAACCAGTCTGTCTTCCGCGAGAAGCGAATGCGGAGAAGTCAACAGCGTTGAGTTTGAGAACGATCTTGCAGCCAGCAGCACAAAGCAACAGACTGGGCACCGGAGCGATCCCACGATCGAATTATCTCGGTTCGTTTCCTCGGTTCGTTTCCTCGATGAACCAGATGTCCGTGGCATCAATCAGTGTGCCAGAGTGCAAGCCAAGTGCTGAAGGCGAGGACATCTCCAGACTGGACTTTAACTCATGGATGGATCTGTTAACAAATACGATGATACTGGCAGGTATCAATGACGAGGCAACACAGTACATCGTATTCAAGGTTAAAGCCGGACATAAACTTCTGGAAGTGTACAAAGCAACCGAGTCGTCAGGCGAAGCCCCGAGCCAAGAAACACACCCATTTTCAAGTGCACAGTTCCGCTTAAAAACGTACTTTGCTTCTACTTCGGATGTGATGCTTCAGCGCAGGAAGCTCGCACTCATGTCACAGAAGTCGAATGAGCCGGACCTGGTATTCATTAGAAGAGTAGGATTAGCGACAAGCCAGTGTGAGTACACGGAAGGGAAACAGTTGGAGGAGATATTGAGCACTGTGGCCGAGCAAGCGAAACACAAGGTAGTGAGAATAGCAGCGCTGAAAATGATGAGAGGTAAAGCATCTCTAGCAGACCTGGTCGACAAAGTTCGCGAAATAGAAACGATACGTCTAAACGAAGAGTATGTTTCCAAAAAGCAAGCTGTTACAGCTACATCAGTAGCATCAGTCAATGCTGTTTGCGCTATTGTTGGACCATCAGACTATGGTACTAGTCACCCATCTCCAGGCTACGGTAAAGCTCCAAATCAAAGGACCAACTTTCAAGGTGGACGAGGACGAGGAACCTTCCGAGGTGGTATCTCCTGGCGAGGTTCGAATTCTCAGATTCCGGAACGTTATTCACGGTGCAACAGCGTTTATCATTCCGCAGAAAGATGCTTCGCAATCCAATTGACTTGCCACAACTGTGGCGTTAAGGGTCATCTTCTAAGAGCCTGCAAGTTACCATTGGCACCAAGAACTAGCCGTCATTTCGATTCCCGGAAGCCAGGTAGCGCTTCGTTGGAAGTAGCAGTGGTCAGCGCAAAACCGGAAGCAACACACGACGAGGACAACAACGAGAGACCCGTAAGTGACGTTTCATCTAAATCGCCATGAAGTGGGCCAAAATTACTTTAAATGAACTTCTGTTTGATTTTATTCTATACTTAATTGAAATCAATAAAGGAAATAATTCCGCAAATACTTATTATATTGTTCGTAGATTATATCGTGGCAATCCCTAACCGTAGTTCAGCCCATTCAGGTGAACGGTACAACCGGTACAACAAAACATCACATAGACGCCCTTATTCGCACTATCAATTCGGGGCTAGAAGGTATTACCCAAGTAACAATTTTGGTTTTATGAGGGTTCTGTAGACCACGATTCAGACTTGTAGAAGGCTATAAAACCGCCCTTATTCGCACTATCAATTCGGGGATAGAAGGTATTACCCAAGTAACAATTTTGGTTTTATGAGGGTTCTGTAGACCACGATTCAGACTTGTAGAAGGCTATAAAACCTCTACAAAACTTGCAATGTTACTTGGGTAAGGCAAAGAAGAGCTACCGCAGTCAACAGAAGCTTGAACCGGGTACCTGGGAAACCCAAAAAAAAAACTGGCTGGTCATCCTGAATTTGATTAATAATTAAAAACTAGCTTTCTTATTTTTGAGAATATCAGGCATAACATTTGATAACGACACAAAAGCATTTGTAAACAAACTTTCTAAG